TAAATTATAGGCCAAAATATTGTCAGTAAATTAAAATGATAAAGATGAAGAGACTTGGGCCTCTCTGGTGGCACAAGGGGTTAAGACGCAACCTATGGAGCTATCTGCAGCCACTGCAGCATGAGTTTGATCCTCGGCCAGGGAGTTACCCACATGGCGCAGCAGACCTCTCCTGACTCGCCCGCTGCTCCCCTCAGCAGTGTATTTCAGTCAGTCTGCCTGTTCTGCTCCCCACTCTGTCTCTGGCGAATCTTCTCACTCCCTGAATCTCTGGCCTGTACACCAGTTCTTATATGCATAAATAAATAAATCTTAAAAAAAAAAGATGAAGAGACTTAAGGTGATTATGCTGAGTAAAATCAGTCAAAAAGTAAAAGATTTCAGATGGTTTCACTCATCTGTGGAATATAAATACCCAGAAAACAATTACACACAAACAATAGAAGGAACAAGAATTTGAACTGGGCAAAAGGAAGATAATGGTTACCAGAGGGAACAGGGGAGGGGGCAGAGGTAGCAGGAGGGAGGCATATGGGGAGTGGACATGGGTGGTTTGGTGAAGGGGGGAAAAAAATCAACAAAAAAAGCATTATAAGCAGGGAAAAAACAAAAGATGAAGCAAACAGTCATTTTTATGGGAGAAAAACCAAACCAAACAAAACAAGCTCAAAATCTAAGAGGAAGCACAATGGAAAACCGAGACTCATTTGAGACAGTGTTGATGATATGTCTCAGTTAGCACCCTTCTGAATACTGCAGGGTTTGCCACTCAGCATATGACATGTGAGAAGCTTGGAATTGGTGCCATGTTTCCCATGACAGACTTTCTGGGAGAAAAAGGTATCAGAGAGAATAGTAAACTCTAATATTGTGCTAGATTTGGTTTATGAATGCCATGTCTTAGTAATTCCTAATCATTTACTTGGTAGGTTATTAGTAAGTAGCCCTTGGGCATGTGTAAGTATGACCCACTATGGAACACTAAGAAATGAAAAACAGAGCTGTGCTTCCCACAAGGAGGGGCAGGGTAGGAGTCATACTTTGAGAATCACTGCATTCAAGAGCACAGGAGAGGAAACTTCATTCCTCGGGAGGTAGAAGAGGTAAGAAACTAACACTGAACCATGTGGTAATAATAAACCTGAGAGCAAGATAATGCTTCAAACCTCTTGTTTGATGTGTATAGGACCCATAAAATTATGCCTGGGAACTGATTTCAAGCAATAAGAAAGCTACATGCAGGGTTCACTCCTTAACAAACTTAATGAGTACATCAAATCTTTGCTATCTCAAATGTGTCTGTAGTTTCCAAAAACCCAGAAAAGGGGAGAGGAAAATACTCTCTACAAGCTCACGCTATTTGTAAGATAACTCTACTTCATTTAGTCTTTACATATCAAGTTCTCTACACATGCAAACATGCATCTAACTATGCCTTTTTACGTATTTAAAAAGCAAGCATTCCCTTTGGAATGGAGAGTAAAATACAATGAATATGCGCTTTTTTCTAATCATAAAGTTTGACAAGAAAAGAATTAAAAAAAAAAATGACATTGAACATATATACCAAAGTGAAAATATTCATTCTTTAGCACTCCTAACAGTTGTAGAAGTCTCTTCCTGAAGGTTGTGGCCTAAATTTTGGCATTTACTGCTTCCTGATCTGTTTTTCAAAATCCTTATTTGAAAACCAGGGGAAAAACTATCCAAATTCAATGGTGAAAGGCCTTGAAAATGCCCAATACTTGAGGAGAAACTAAATTGATAGTTTACTACCCCTCTTTTGAAATAGATTACTGGTTCCACTGTGGTCTCCATCTGTGGTGCCTAATGATGTTCTGGTCAGTTTTTTGATCCTGGGATTATCAAAGCCCACTTTACAAGGATCCCAGCACAAAGTTTCCAATTAAAGTAGGATAATAATGATCACCAGCCTCAAGAATTCCTAATAATCAATTTCTCAAACAATATCAAAGACTTGTATTTTAAAGGATGCAAAGTGACTTCTCACTTCATTGTAACAAACTACTTCATTATTAGGGAAAGTATAGGAAATTCCTGATATGCTGAATGAAGCTCATGAATTGAAACAGACTGCTGTAAATGCACTTTAGGAATACACAACAATTTTATGTTGTTACTCTTTTGCCAAAATGTACTTCAGAATTGCTGTTTTTCCCTATTCACTATAGAATAACACACTACTATGCAAAATGCTAAGTTTTTATTTTCCTTTGATTCTTGGCCAATTTACTAAGTGAAAAGCTATTCTGCTGACAAAGCAGAAAATGCCCACATAAGAGTATGCTGGGATGCCTCTTATAATCAATACCTTAAAAATAATCATGGAATACAGAAATAACGAAGAGTTTGTGAAAAGAGCAAAAAGCAGGACACAGACATTAAGCAGCAGTCAGGACAGCATATATCCTGGGAAATCAGAAAGCTTACAAAATCACGAGTGATTTTTTTTTAAAGACCCACTGAATATAAGATTAGAAAAACAAGAAATGCAAGTTAGCTTTTTATTAAAATACTTCAAAAATCACAAGTTGTCCAATATTTGGAAAACCATCTCTAACTAATGCCACTAAGCGGAATAAGAAAACTAATAAACATGGATACAAACATCTCATAACCTCATAGAGCTAAAAAGCAAGATGTCATCCCAGGAAACGCAAACTCTCCCTATGGTAAAGAATAGAGAGAACCACTGTGAAAGAAAAATTCACATGCAATCGCTAATGTCCTCATAATCCATAGTTTAGGGCTACTATAGGAAGGCATGATCATAGAGAGAAAAAAGGAGATCTCATTACAAAATCACAACGGGAAGAGGAATTATACTCACTACCTGTAAATAGTCCATTACACACACACACACACACACACACACACACACTATTCATGTATCTGGAAAAAGAGGAGGTGGTTTACAATATTGAGATCAATTTACTTGGAGGAAAATTTCAGCTGTCAAGGAAAAACTTCCAAAAGAAAAAATTGTATTATAGCTCTACCTCCTGCCAGCAGCATCAGAACTTCAAAGTAAATTAAAACTCCCTGAGCAAAAACTGGAGATCTCTCCACCCGCATTCATGCAGGGGTGGAAACCATGGGTTTAGATGGTAATAGGAACTAAAAAGCTGTGAACATTGAAGCTTTCAGTACCCACAGCAACAGTGTTAATGCTTCATTCTTATATCTACATATTGCTTTTTTCATTTTACAAAGTGCCTTCGTTTTATTCCTCAATTGGCAAACTATTTGGTGCTGGAATCACAGTACTCTACTTTGCTAGTAGTTTCTAAACTTCATCCATACACTGCATTATTACTTGAAGACTGGTCTTACTTATTTGTTACTCTTAGAAAATCTCATTTCTGAGTGGACTCAGATTCTGTGGAAGCTCTCACAGAAGTCAGCCTCCGTCTTTTGGCAATCTGTTCCTGGAATTTTTCTTTGGCCTCCTTCATTCTCTCGACCTGAAGCTGGGCACACTGCATTATTTTACAGAAGAGACACAAGGCGGTGAAGTCACAGTCTCAGGACAAGCAGACGGTGGGTGAAGGGCCTGGACAACCGCGGGACTCAGTCAACCAACAATAGTCACTTCCAACCCTTGAAAGTTCAAAGTACACTTTGCTTCCAGGAGGAGCAAGCTCGTTCAGACAGCTACGAGCCCCAACTGCAGAGACTCAGCGGACCTGTCTCACAGTCTCTCGCCAAACACAGGGAAACTGAGGCAGAAGGGAGCGACAAAAGTCTGATCTTGGTAGAGGCCGGCAGGGCGTGCTGGAGGGATGCTGGGCTTCCCCGAACTCGCCTGCACTGAGCCCAGGAGCAGCAGTTTAAGAAAGATACTCGGTCGGTCTCCAGAGAGACGGGCAAACCCTCGCCATTCCCGCGTCCCCGCCCAGGCTTCCTCACGATGGGGAGTCCTCCTTCCCAGAACCGCCCAGCAATTCCCTCTTCCCGAGGCCCTTTCCCATTTTTCACAACGGGCCTCGGGAGCAGGAGAATCCGCTAGCTCTTAGCCCCTGTCTCGGAGGCATCTCCGGACCTCAAGGCGTTTCAGTCTCGACCCAGGCGGAGGTCGGCCTCCCACCGCTGCCACCTAAAGCCCAAACTCCACAAAGGAAACCCTCCCAGGGCGTCCTCCCTTCTACTCCTTCCGCCCAGGGCGCCCTAAGGAGCGCCCCTAAACCAGGAGCCTCCCAGGAGCTACACGCTTCTCACCTGAGCCCTGTGAGCCGCGGCCTCCTCAGAAAGGCAACCCCCAGAAAGCTCCTCCGGCGAAGACCCCCCAAAGGGGGAACACCCTCTTTCAGGAACCTCTTCAGGCGCCGTCAGCGCGGGCCCCGGTGGAGAGCCTCCGGCTGTGTCCCGGGCTCTGCCCAAAGCCTCCTCCTCCCCGCCCCCTTTCCGGAGCCTCCCCCAGCCCCAGTCCGGTCTCCCAGCCGCAGACCCGGGCGGCCGGTCCCCTCCCTCACGGGCGTCCCCAGCCCGCGGACTCCCCCCGCTCCGCGTCCCCAGGGGCTCCCCGGAGCAGCGCGGCTGGGCTGCGGCACTGACTTTCTCCGGCTCCCGGGCGCACCTGAGGGAGGGGGCGGCGGCGGCGGCGCGACTCCTTTGTGACAGGTCCGAGAGAGCGGTAAAGATGGACGCGAGGCCACGGCGCTGCCATTACGCGCTGGGCCCACCCCCGCTTCGTCCCGCCCCGGCCCTCCCTCCGTCCCCTAGGAAACGCCCCTTCCTCGGTGGCAACCCCTCTCCGTGACAGCCAATCATCTGGCCCGAAAGGCCTCACGTGCTCGCATGGCCCAGCCCGCCCCCCGGCGCGAGCTGACCAATCGCGTCGCTGGGGTGTGAACGACCCAATCAAGTTTCCCGAACTAGCCTTCCGGGCACCGGATTTCCATCGGGCTCCGGGGGAGGAAGCGAGGTGCGGATTGGGTCACACCGCCGGAAAGGGGCGGAACCTTGTTGTGGCGGTGAGCAACCGGAAGCCCTGAAGGGTCAAAAGAAATACAAAAGCAAAGGCTATTTCTTTTCTTAGTTTTCGTTCTTTCTTTTTTTCCTAAAGAGCGAGCGGCCTTTGCGGTGGCGGTTTGGGGTGGGCGCCGCCGCGGTGAGGGAGTCTGGCCTCCCGCACTCTGGTAGGTGAGTGCGGCCTGCGCCCTGGCCTGGCGGTGAAGCCCGGGCGCCAGATTCTTCGTTGAGAATATGAGGGGGCTGCGTTTGACTGGAGGGTCAGGGCCAGGGCTAGGGCTGGGCTCAGTCTGTGCATTCATCCGTGGTTTGGGTTGCTGAGGCAAAGGGCTTGCGGGGCCCAGCCTGCGGGGAACCGGGGGAGCCCGCGGGAAGGCCTCCGGGTCGTGGAGGGCTGGGGGTGGGGTGAGGGGGAGGCTCCCCGACCCTTTCTAGCTGTTCTGGAAACCCCCTACCTTTGTGCTGACTCCCCTCCACCTTTTCTATTAGGTGGGGCCACCCAGGCCCAAGTGAGGCGCGGGCTCTGTGCCGGAGAGCTCCGAACGGCTCCAGGCTGCTCGGGAGATGTGAGGATGCATGGTCGGAAATGGTTGAATCACGATTATAAGTGTGGGATGGGAAACACATATATTATGTACCGTGTACCGGTTGCCGCGCTGAGTGCATTTTCTTCTAATAGAAAACAAGCCAGCGGGGTCGTTTTGCGAAGAAGTTAGGAAACTTAAGATCGAGATCTGAAGTAGCACGTTTGAGAGTTGGTGGCTCATGTTAGTGTCTGCCCACATGGGGAAAAGGACAGACCTGTTCGTTTATAGCAGTGGTTCTTAAACTAGTGGTTCTTAATCAGGACCTTCTGTAACCCTTTTAAAACGCAGATTTTCGGCCCCCACCCCCAGATAGTGTGACTAGGTCTAGAGAGACCCAGGACGCCAAGTTGGGGGCCTGGTGGTCAGAATTCTCTATGATTTCTTGCGTGCCAGCTGTCAGGTAAGCTTTGCTGATTTATTCATTTGTTAGGTTAATTGATGTGTTAACAGTAACCCCATAAAAAGATTTGAGGGGCATTGCTCCTGAAATCCCTGGGAGGAATCAGTGTGTGGACTCCTTTTTGATACCAGGAATTGAACTGAGACAAGACAGCCCTTAAAATCTAACAGTAAGCTGTCAACAGTTAGTAAGTGTCTGACGGCAGAGGCTGCCTGTGTCAACTGAAGTCTTGATGTCTTTACCTCCTGGGTCAATTTCTCATGGTTGTAAGAAAGGAAGAAGTGTGTCAAGACCTTTCACCTGATTAGCAGTTAGCTTTTAACCTTCTAAAAATCAAGTTGCTCTAGTTCACGTTCAATTCAAGTTAATCCGCTTTCAATTTCTCCTGCTTCTGAAAAGGAAAACCATGTATCTGGTAAATGAAGTCATTCAACAGCATGGGTCAGCCTTAGTTTCAACCACAGTGTAATTATGCTTTTAGGTCAGCTAAATTAGTGATTCAATGTGCTTGCTATTTTTTTTTTTAATATTTATTTATTTATGCATACAAGAGCTGGGGCACAGGCCAGAGACACTGTGTGTGTGTGTGTGTGTATGGGGGTGGTGGTGGTGAGAGGACTCACCAGAAACAGAGTGGGGAACAGAACAGGCAGACTGATTGAAATACTCTGTTGAGGGGAGCAATGGCTAGACAGGAGAGGTCTGCTTCCCCTTGCGCCACCAGGGAGGCCCCAATTGCTGTTGATCACTATTTGATCAGGTTTCATCTTCATGACATGTCATCTGTTTCACTATAGGCTGTGTTTTAAAGATTGTTCTTTGTCTTTTTGCATTTTTACTACTGTGTATCCAACTACAGATTCATTTTTGTTCTATATGTTTGGTGTTTATAAGGCCTTGAATTTGTGGCTTTGTCTTTTATTAGGTCTTTAAAATTTTCAGCCATTTTATATTCATGTATTGTTTTGTCCTATTGCCTGTCTTCCTTCTTTACACATTTAACATAGACTATTTCAATTCTCTATGCCTCTTACTCTCTTTTTATTTTTCCATATAACATTCTGGATAACTTCTTCATGTAATTCTCTCAAGTTACTTTTAGTCTGCCACTAAACTCATCCATCAAAAATCTTAAATTTAGGGCCTCCCCGGTGGCGCAGTGGTTGAGCGCTGGGTTGCGAGGCTGCCCGCGGCCTCTGCAGCGCCGGTTCGATCCCCGGTTGCTCCCCGGCCACCGGAGGAGGGTCCCGCATGGCGCGAAGACCTCTCCTGCCGCCCGCTGCTCCCCTCAGCAGTGTGCTTCGGTCCTTCTGCCTGCTCTGCTCCCCGCTCTGGCTCTGGTGAATTCTCTCACCCTCCTGCGCTTCTGACTGTACCCAGTGCTTGTATAAATAAATAAATGAATCTTTAAAAAAAAAAAATCTTAAATTTAGTTATTATATATTTTAGTTCCTGAAGGTCGGTCGGTCTGTTTCAGCTGTGCTATGCCACTATTTTACAGTTTCTTATTTTCTGCTATTATTTTTGAGGCTTTTTTAAATTCCTTTAAATAAATGTAAATGCTAAGCATATTTGTTTTATAATATATATATTATAAAATTAAAGGAGTTAATTTTACAGACATCAACATGAAAGGGGGTTTTCACTTCCAGAAATAACGGGTCTGATATTTGAATTCCCTTTGGGTCAGTTGCTGTTGCCCACTTTTCCTGCTGTTTTTCTGCCAAGTTCACCTTTACCTCAGATGTAGTTCTTGGGGGTACCAGATTAAGAATGAGATGGAGGTGGCTCTGATAACACATACCCTTTGTTGGCTCTGGGGTTTAACTTTGTGCCTCACAAGAGCACCAAAACAGCGGCTTTCAGGATGAAAACCAGCTTGAATATTGTGCTTAATTTCTGGTTATCACCTTTTCTTGGGTTTTGGTAAAATTCTTCACTATCTTATTAGCTTTTCTATCTAGGAATTATTTTTTAATTTCTTGCTGGCTTTTTTTTTTAAATCATAGAATTATAGAGGGTTGGTCTCAATTACCTAACCTAGTATTTCTGAAAATGAAAACCCACTTTCATTTTGATTTTGGGGAATGATTAGTGATTTCAGGCACTATTGAGCTGGAGAATATTTTTATTTATGTACCTAAAACATAACACCTATGCTCTTTTCTAGTCTGTTTTCTGAACTCCTTAGTGCTTAGCTTCTGTTCTTTTATGGCATCCTTACATTCTCCTATGTGTTTATGTGCCAACCTTATCTCTTTTACTGAAAGCAGGTTCCTCCCATGTTAAAAGTCGAGTGCCAGTTTAGTACCTGGCACTGTGTCTTACACATAATATGTCCTCTGTAAAGATTGACTTCAAAAATATAACTGAATACCTTTTTTTTTTTTTTTTAAAGTTTGTTTTCAGGAGTTACATGAAGCCTGGGGGTGGGAGTGGGGTATGATTTAGTGTGGGTTAGGTTTCAAAGGCAGCCCAAATGGAAAAATAGTGTATGATCAAACCTACCTTCAGAAACCTCTTAGGGAGGCACCCTGTTGAATGCAGGTACAATAGTACAGTGAAATTCCAGCTTGGCTAGATTTTCTTCCAGCTTTGATATAGATACTATTTTTCTTCCTTTGAGCTCCAGATGAAATACAGTAAGTTCTCACTTAACATCATGTCTTCAGTCCTGATAGGTTCTTGGAAGCTGTACCTTTAAGTAAAAGGACATAGAAATGAAACAGGTCTTTGGATGGTCTTTTGTTCATCATCTGTCCATGTTCTTTTTTCTCATCATTGTTACAGTGAATTGACATGGAAAGAATGATGTTATCCGAGGACCTGCTGTGGTTGGTTTGCATTCAGGAGTGACAATGTGGGAAAAACCAACTAATATTAGAAGCTGACCTAACAAGCAAAGAGTTTATATTCTGAGAGATACATGTGAACTGGGGAACTGAAAAACAGCTAAGGAAACCTATATTTAAGTGGTTCTCTTTTTTCTTCTAGTGATGATACTGTTCTTAAGCTTTGTAAACATAAATATATATTTATGTTTAACTTTTTATTGTGTTTTTAAGATGCCAAGACAACCAGGTCATTACAAATTGCCCTTTATAATTAAACATTTTAACTATGAATTAAATTGCTTATGCTGTATCATATTTTTTTAGATTTTTTTAGTCCGTTTGTTAAATAAGCTTCCATGTTAGAAGACTGAGGATCATTTGTCTAGTAGTAAATGCAAACAGAGAATTCTCTGCTAGTAATTATCATTCTTTGAAGTTTTATAACACAGGGAAAGTCAGCTTGATCTAAATTGCTCTAGCTTGGGAGGAGTCCCTTCTTGCCAGAAAGAAATCTTTATTTGGAATATGGTTAGTTTGCCAGATGGCAAATTCTTCATGGTTGTTGTCCTGCATTTTGAAATCCCTTGTGACTTTAATATTGAGGTAAAAAATGTTGGAAGAGGGGGTACTTAGATTGTTTACTGACCAAAGGAAAGTAAATAAAGTTGGTTTATTTTTTTCACTCTCCAAAGAGAAGCCTTAGAACATCATATCCCTGATATACATATGTATATATATTTGGATTTATTTATTTATGCATACAAGAACTGGCATACAGGCCAGAGGTGTGGGGGGTGAGAGGACTCACCAGAGACGGAGTAGGGAACAGAACAGGCAGATTAACTGAAATACACTGCTGAGGGGAGCAGCGGGTGAGTCAGGAGAGGTCTGCTGCGCCATGTGGGCAGCTCCCTGGCAGGGTATCGAGCTCTTGTTGCAGTGGCTGTGGACAGCTTCATAGGTGGCATCTTAACCCCTTGCGCCACCAGGGAGGCCCTCCCTGCTATATTTTTATGGTGCTGTCTATCTAATGTTAGAAGTGCCTTTGCAGTTAACACTGGTAACACCGTAACACTGTCAACACTTCATTGTCTACCCTAACAAAATCCATTTCCAAAGGAGCCAGATCTCATTAACTTGTATCAGGACCTGGAGCTAAATGGAATGATTTTTCAAGTCAGCAATTGTTTTGGAAGCAGCAAAATAAGTTTTGCACCTTACAACTTGTATAGCATGTAGTGTAAGACTAAGCCCATTTGGCACTGCCAACCTGGAAATTAAATACCCTAATGTGTTTAATGGTTAATTTGCCCTGAAATGTAAGAACTTTGTTTTCTTGACTGTTAAGGG